CACGCACATGTGCACCCAAATGTCCAGAACAAACATTGCATTGTGCGATGCTGGAAACCACTTCTTAGATGCAGAGAGGGATGGAGATACATGAGTTGGACAGGTGTCTGGTGCTGTATTGGGGTTACAGGGGTGTGGATGTGGAAGATGGAGCGAGGTATGTAGAAGGCTGGGTGAGGCAGGGATTGTGAACAATACATTTGTGGGCTTAGATCTAAATGACCTCGGTCTGGTAGTGGCCACATGCTGTGGGTTAGGTATCCGGGTGGTGCCTGTGTGGATGGATGGATGGATGGATGGATGGATGGATGGATGGATGGATGGATGGAGATGGGGAAGTAGCAGGCATAGATGTGGTGAACAACACTTGCCGAGGTATAAGTGTGCTGTCTCGGGGCCTCCACATTCTCCTGCGCTTCCGTCTCCCCCTTGATTCTTCCCGCTCCTCCACCAGAACGGACTCTTGACCTGAGCCTGTGTGCTGGGAAGGGATTGTCAGAGTCTCCAGTGGTTGCTGAAGGCGCCATGTGCATCATGACATGTGTGGTCTGGAAATTCCCCATCCTGGTCTCCATGGGGGTGCCTGACCTAGAGGCATGCCTGTTTGTGCTTTGACATTGCCGTCTGTCCTGAAGACATGCGTCCACTCGCCCACACTGGTGACTCAGTAGAGATCAGGTCAGCTGAACAGTGGCTTTCAGCCCTTGCTATGCATTAAAACTCAACATCTTTTCGTTTGTTTGCTTGCTTGCTTGTTTTTTGAGACAGGGTTTCTCTGTGTAGTTTTGATACCTGTCCTGGAACTCTATGTAGACCAGGCTGGCCTCGAAATCACAGAGGTCTGCCTGCCTCTGCCTCCCTAGTGCTGGGATTAAAGGTATGTGCCACCACCACCTGGCTTTAGCAACATCTTTTAAAGGGACCTGGTTGACTCACAGGCTCTTCTATGAATGATTGATCCAGATCTTTGTAAAGCTCTGCAAGGGTTCTAGAGTGTAGCCTGGGGTGAGACGCACCTGCCGAGGGGAACTGTTGAAACTGCTCTGGACCTAGGTGTGGGTTTGTGCCAGAACGTTCTGTCCTCTGATCTCAGAGGGTACAGGACAGACTCTCTGGTCTGTGTGACCCCCCACCAACTGCCCCACAAGCACAGTCCCACCCCCTCCCCGCCACTCCAGGTGGCCACATGTGCTGTCTGTGTCTATGTTTTAACTTTCCCCACCTCTGAAGACCATGCAGCTGTTCAGCTTGTACATGGTCCCTTCCTCCTGTCTCAGCCGCCCACTGGTGGGAGGGATTGGGCTGAAGATGCCAGGTCTCATCCACACATTTGGAGCCTTCCTGTGTCCTGTTCATAGGATGGATTTTCCATGACTCCCCAAGTCTCAGAGGTTTCTAACCAGCCACCTCCATCCTGGTCAAATGGGTGGCCGTCTCCATTTCTCACCACTCATGCTTTCTTGCTGTTTTTTTTCTGCACCTGTTTTAAACCCCAAATCACAGTGGCAAGATGGAAGGCCAATCGGCTTCCGCTCTCATTTGGAGCTGGCAAGACATGATGAGTGAGTGGCCTGTTCCTCAGGACCAATAAGTGAGGACAGACGTGTTGGAATCTGTCCAAATGGAGCTGCAGGTTTGCCCTCAGAGGGTCTTTTCCCATCTGGCTCCTTTCTCTGACCAAGGAATGTTCTAGGTTTGGCAGTGTCCAGCTCCCGGCGCTGCCTCTCGGACCCTGCCCTTACTCTCTTGCCGGGGAAGGGGAACAGATGCTTAGCTGGTGTGAGGAGACGGGGGCATATGGTACAGCATATGGAGAGAGGAGGGGACCCAGAACTGACACCACACATTTCTGACATAACACAAACACATCTTCGGTTTCCGATTTTAGCCAAGTTGTGAGACATGCAGCTTTCTGCTGGTAAAGCAACCCAGGCCCCAGCAAGGAGGGCTGTACAGCCATCCCTCCGCTCCGCACACAGGCCCTCTGGATGGCCAGCTGGCGCCAGGCTGCTGCCTTGCCCAAGCGTCATAAAAGAAGGCCAGTGCCCAGTCAGACTGCAGAACAGACAGGCCATGGAAGTCCAAGGCCATTTATCAGCTCCAGAGGGGGAAGGGGTTATGTCATTTACATTATATTAACAGCATCGAGGAAGGGAGTGAGGAAACGGTAACTCAATTCAGATGGAGCCAAGAGTTTATTCAGTCCCAGAAGATACGTCACTAGCTCTACAGAACTGAGCTGAGAGGATCTGAGAACCAGGAGGCAAGGCTAAGCGAGAGGCTGTTGAATGGAGCCAGGAAGCTCTGCCTGAGGTCTGAGTGTCTTGCACTCTCTGGCCGGGCCCTCCTCATCTCTGTCCGGGCCCTCCTCATCTCTGGCCAGCGGCATTTGCTTGTAGGTTACGTTCAGACCCAAACACTGTGGATAACGAATGGGTCGCCCATCCTAAAGACAGACACTGTAACCATTTCTGCCACAGAACACCTGTCCCTTCAGAAACCCACACGTGAACATGGGACATCATTGCCCACAACAGGAGCATTTTGGCCTTGTTCACTGCCAGCTCCTACCACAGTGGGCTCTCAGAACAGCAGGTCTGAGGGTCCCTGGACTCCGATGACTCATCTTGACTCATGACATCCTAACTTTGACCTGTGTTGCCAGCACACAGCCAGCTAGCAGCACCTCTGAGGGCTGTCTCTTGCCTTCTGGCGCTCTTGCTAGCAAGTTCTAACTTCTGCTAAACTGCTGGGTTAAAGAAAAACCAACCAATCAACCAATCTCTCCTGAGGTTGGCTCTTAGCACTGGACCTTGCCCACCTTCACCCGGTTTCCACTGGCCTCAGAAGCCTGTTCCTGCCCAAGCTAGAGGTCATTACATCAGTGGAGAGCCTTTCCCTGCCTTCTGGATAGCCAGGGTCCTCTGCACAGCTTCAAACAGGCTGCTGAATAATGGGATATGTTTCTGACAGGGTCAGTGGTTCCAGTATAGTCCTGTGAGCTCCAGCAGAAACGAGAGGGAGCCAGTTTGCACTGGTTTGGGATAGGTTTAGGCAAGGAATGTCAGAGTCCTTTGGTCTCACTTGATACTGTATCTTTGGTTCATATCAATGACAGAAGTTTGCTTCATTAATCAAATATGAACATTATAAAGGAGCTTTTTTAACAATATGGGTTGTTTTTTTTTTTTTTTCCGACAGGGTTTCTCTTTGTAGCCCTGGCTGTCCTGGATCTTGCTGTGTAGACCAGGCTGGCTTTGAACTCACAGAGATCTGCCTGCCTCTGCCTCCCGGGTGCTGGGATTAAAGGCATGTGCCACCATCACTGCCCGGCTGCAATATAAGTTTTAAAATTAGATGCATCTGAGAGAAGTCAGAACAGCCAGGTTGTGGGGAAGGAGTGTTGGGGCGTAATTCAGTGGCCAAGCCTGAGCTTAGAATGTTCCATCTCCAGCACCACAGCAGAAATAGAAAACAAAGCACCAAGCTGAATTGTTATGCACCACAACGATGGCTTATTCCTGGCAGCAGCCACTCACTGCGTCCCTTTTCTTCTCTTGCAGAACTCCCTACAAGGTGAGACCTGTGGCC